ACTTGTTAATGTCTATATACGGTACAATAATAAAGTTGAGAAGGAACAGGATTGGACATATTGACAACCGTCCTGCTAAATGGTATTTTCAAGTATCATGAGATATAGCAACGAAGTTAAGTATTTGCCATAGTTACATAAGAGTTATTAAATATTACGACGTTGATCATAAAATGACAATCATATATTATACGAGCAAAACTCGTAAACTAGCCAAACCCTAACATTAGCCAGATATGACCTGTAATTAAAGGGCGGAATTTTGATTATGCCATCAGTTTGAAGAAATCATTTAAACGATTGAAACGAGGTATAATATCGATGGATTCATGACTTGAAATATCTTTATCGTTTATATTACATAAGGATAATTTGGCATAAAAAACTGTAGGAGACCGTAGCGCTATTTTAATACACCAATATTCTTATATTGATAAAAAGTCGTAATCTCATGTTTTATAGATCTAAATTTTAGTTACACGCAAGAATGAGCTGTGAAGTAACTAGTATATTTCTGTAATCGTGATTATACCGTAGGCCGCCGTTTACAATTGCTTATACAGCATTAACAAAGCGAGATGCATACGGTTATACATCTTTCCGTACGGCACTATTCGGTGACCAAATCATTCGTATGATATGCTGTAGTTATGCTACTTCTAATCATCGGCATCTCTAGTAATCGCTGTAAAATTAGATAGGATTAACTAAAGTAGCTACTTCGATAACGTAATATCTTGCCAACTAGCGCTATAAACAATTTATAAAGGCATTGAACTTTTTTTTGTAAAAATGCCAATTGCAAATGAAGGAGGGGCCAAATTTAAGTAATTCAAAACGCTTTGATACAACTAATCTTTTCGCTAGACCGATAGAAACACATTTATTAACTATAATAATCTTATAAGCAGCTAAATGATGACTATTTTTGTGAAAATGCTAGTAATGTGATGATTGGAGATGGATAGCTTTAAGATTGTGTTTTAAAACAAGATCAAAGCTTTTCAACGTAATTTGCATTTTTGCTATCTTAAGGGATCAATTTGTTTATCGCGAAACTTTTCAAGTACTTGAAAAACAATTATCTACGATTTATGATCTTATTCAATACTATTAAGGGGCTTTTATTCATTCTGAATTAATTATAACATTAAGAATCAGGGAGTGATTATAACTAATTGGTGCTAAAGTTGACAAAAGTCGACTTAAATTGATTAGATTTTACTTTTTAATTGTATGTTATGTTGACCTTTCCTAATGCTCTATCATTTAAAAAATTGATTAAGGAAGTACTCATTCCGCATCATTGCTATGATTGGTATTTTTAGTCATACAGGAATTCGGTAAAAAAATACTGCATATTGGCTTATGTACAAATAGCTTGATAAGTTTTACTACTCCGTACAAGTATCATCCTTGTCGATAATCATCCGATTTAAGACGGAGGAGGGTGGAGCCCAAGTAATTAATTAGTGGTAAGAATGAAATGACTTTTCATATTAATAGTATTAGTGTCGGCGTATGTCAACAGAGCCAAACTGTCTGCATCTTAACGATGCATGCCTGTATGACAACGTTGTTAGCATCTAATTGTTAGATCTTTTCTAACGAATTCTTAATCCTGTATAATAATTAGTCTATGTCGTAATATACTCTCAACAATGTGTGATTTTTGTATTAAGGCATGTAATTAGAACTAAATTCATTCCTCCCATCTACTTTTATTGTCATTCGCTTTATAATTACATTCTTTCTACCTCTCTACCTTGATACAATCTTATATAATCGAGCTAAAGTATAGTTAATCCAACATTTTATTATTAATTTTTCATAATATTGGCACAACTGTTGCCCGCTGAAACAGCCAAAGCTATGTCGTATTTTATGAGTTTCATAGACTAATATTTGCTGCATATTCTATAGATTCGGTATATTTTACTGCTTGGCTCATATGTTATGATATAGGGAATTTATTTCTTCTACTGACATTGATAATGCGTGTAAAAATATTCAATTAGTTATTATTTTTAATATTTATATGACTTTCAAAATTATTTTAGCGAGATTAGGCTTTAAAATCGCCCACGATTTAAATCTACTGTTTTGTATTTTTCCATTTGGCTCAAATACTACAATGCATTACACTACTGTTGTACAGAGTGGACCTTATAATATAGGATAATCAGCTAATCAATAATGGATAACAAATAAATACTGCAATGTAATAGGATCATGCATATTCTCCAACTTTAATTCTTTAATGAAATATTTACCGTATAGTCATAGCTATGGTTGCGACGGCGTAATTTTGTTGTATAGAAATATCATATCTGGTTACGATACAATTTATGCGGCTTTCATGGATTACTTTCTGCTATGCAGATATCTTTACATTATTTCCTTTTGAGTTTAAATATTTAATCATTAGCATAATTTCAATGTTTGGCTTTTAATTATAATTCTATGCTATTTGCGAGATCTCTACTATTTTCTACAGTATATAAATAAAAACTCTACGATGCTATGGTTTTCAGCTTAAGTCATTATTACTATTTATATTACTCGGCTGCTTCTCAATCTTACATACGTTACAAATTTGCAATCGTCAAAATGCATAGTTCATGAAGTTCTCTACTAAACATTATCTTATGGTGTTATCTGTCCTTAATACCATAGCATCCTTAAACGATTATACGACCACGCGAACATGCCAAGGCATATCTTAACGCAGTTATAATATGCACCGCCACATACTTAATGTAGCTACTCTGCCTAGTAATTATAATTACTAAATTCTATCTTTACTGCTCTAACATTTCCTATGATCTGAACTAATGTCAATTTATACAACATTTTTACAGAGCAGTCATTCGCTCTTTTTCGGTTAGCAAGGTATTGACGAAAGTCTCTTGAAATGTGGAATGTGAATTAAATTCTAACCTAGATGCATGAATTTTACCACATCTTTTTTTATTCCACAGAACCGTATTTGAATTGTGTATGATATTTGCAATAAGGAGATATATCACTCTTAGCGCTAGGGTAGTAGAATGCTGTTAATGAAGTATATAAATGGCAGACTTCTTTAGGAGGGAGTTTAAACAGAAGTCAAGATTTAGCCATGCATAATTACGTGGTCGATGTTTACTGCTGTAATATTCAACACTAGTTTTAAGTAATAAACGATTTTTAACCATTATTTTAAAAATGACGTTTTGACAATATAATGATCTACTGTATATCGCACACCATACTGTCTATGTAAAGTATAGACCCGATATTGTGATCAAGTGTCTTCAAAATAAGAAAACAAGAGCTACACTTTCTTGTCAACTTTACTTTATTACATAAGTTAAGCTCATCTTACGACTACTATAGTACGATTCGTGTTAATATAATTTTGAAATGGGCGATTTTTGCAAACTATCCAGATATTCAATTTAGCATAATATCAAGAATTGGAATCTTTTACTAGCAAGTGAATTGTTAAGATATGTCTGTGAACTGGGTACAACAATTAAATATATTGTAGTCAGAACTCTTGTTCGCAGGCATGGTGTGCGAATTCAACTAGTAAATACGCGTATACTGCTGTGCCGGTTAGGCATACTGTACAGTGTAGAGCAAGATCCAGTCGAGCGAATTATTGGTGTACAAGGTCTTGAATTCAAGGATATTATTTGATAGTAACCTGGAAAAGGGCAGCTGGGTTTATGCAAATATGCGCCCCTACCGGCTAGGTCCAGAAGAAAGGTAGAGGTCCTTGAAAGAGCAACATCATGGATAAAATGATGGCATTGAGTTGCATTGCTTGCTTGGGATATGCTGCTGTGTAGGTTATGTATACAGCCAATGCAGGATCTAGTCGAGCAAATTACTATTGTAAAAGGTCCTTATAAGTGAAAATCAACGTCACTTTATCCAGTTATTGCTGTGAAGTTGCGTTGCAAACAGGGGATATGGTGTGTGTCCATAGCGTTAAACTTATGTCCGTTTGAATACCAATGAATAAGTTTGGAAATTACGCAACAGCTAACAGTACTACGTACAGTATGTGTTTCGGTGCAACACATTGCCAACACGCTGTGGATTAGATTCTTGTTCTCATTAATTTAATTATTGCTCTACTGTTCTTAAATCGTGTGATAAAGATCTTTCATGTCAATTCTATCATGATTGAGCTAATGAATTGTGAGCTACTAGATTCCATTGGATGAAAGAAGTAGAGTCCTGTGACTATCATGAAGGACAGTCATTCTATCTGCATTGCTCGTCGTATAGCTTCCGTAATCCAAACGAATCCTTCCTAAAGCTCAAACAACACTTACTATAACTCATCATCGATGTCTTGTTACACTTTTACCTCTAAATTTGAAATCGAAGCCAAATTATAGCTAAAATTGGACTATTGAGGTGAAGGAAAGACTAAAAAGTACGATGACCATGTGGACGATGAGCTATCTTATTTAATGTCAAGAGGCGGATGGCAGTAAACGTGTCATGACGAAAGTTATATAAAAAAAGTATCTTGGAGCGATCGAAGCCCTTAATGATCATTACAGGACTGTATAAGCACAGATTATAGAGACTATTACGACAGGAAGAAACAGAAAGGTTTGCAAAATTACAACATCGATCCATGGGCGGCAAAGGGGAGAAGGAGTCGGTAGCCATGGAGAGCGATGCCTTCAGTGCTGGGTGACAATGAGCATGAACAGTACCCTCATCAGGCACAGTTGGTACAGTGCAAATACTGTAGGCTTCCTACTAGCTGTACTGTACTGTACACTAGTGTACAGTACCAAGACTATACAGTATAGAGTGCTGATACAATACTTGGCACCGTATACAGTAGTGTGGGCACTGCTAACCTGTGGATGGGCCTGGGCTTTGCTCCTTTTCGTTTATTGCCAGAAAGATTTTATCGTTTTGGCAGCAAGTTCGTTTTGTCTATTGGCAATTGCAAGTTTTCTTCTCTTCATCATCGTTATTATAGCGCTATGTCGACTAATGTGGAATTAGTTTCTTCTGCAAGATGCTTTCAGAGTTCCATCAATGTTTATAGCCATGACAGGTAAATAGTTTTAGCATCCAATTGTTGCAGGTAGGCATGAACTGATTGTAGTGCATTGGGATGTACAATATCGATCCTCCTTTAGCCAACGAAATAGTCAATCTTGCATTGAAACTATCATAAATACTTACAATCTACCTGGATAGCAAGGAACTTGTCATTAGTATGCAAAAAATCATGTTGCAATTGCCAAATAATTCTACCTCCAAAACTGGGCATGGTGCATTATTGTTATTTGTACAGTATCTCCCTCCCCCCCTCAAAATAGGTCTTCCTCTTTTCCTATACAGTAGCTGCAAAATCATCATTCTTGTGTCCGTAATTTTCTCATTATACAGTGCTTGCTTTAATTAAAAAGAGTCTCGCAGCTTGCTACCAATCGTTGAAAGTAAAGATAGACAATAATAGAATAATTGTACGAGAATAATTCTCTTGCTAGATTAATAAAAAAATGCTATATAGACATTTTTAACAGCTTTGTTATGCTGCGTAGCATGAAGTCAGAAACTGCAGCACCATCATATCCGGATCATACTGTAGACTTCGACTCTTACAAGGACTGCATCAACATCAACCCATGATCCCAAGTACTTTATAGTTTTTAAGATTCATGCTGCATGCTAGCATGATGTAATTTTTGATATTCTTGCAGCATGAGCGATTTTATACCTTGGTACATTTTGAACAGCTTTGTGATGCTCTCTACTATTCTAGTGAGTTATTGCACAGTTTCAGCAATGTGTAGAGAATCACTCACTAGTGTTAGAGCGCCCTAGTGGACTGGATTATACCCTTACCGGTATTTTATACTTTTTTTAAGATTCTTGGGGCATGAATCATTTTATATATTAGTAAAGTGACTAGTATTCCCTTCGTGTTGAAATCAACTTTTGTGACAGCTTGAAAAATTGAAAACTTGCACAATGTGCATTAGACAGTACAGTACTGTACAGTATGTTATTAATTAAGCGTAATCTACTGTAATTCGATTATACTGTATGTACAGGCGTGGCCTTGTAGAACATAAAATGATTGATTTTCAGATAGTGATACTGGAATATACAGGTTAAATCCAATTTATTTTTGCAGGCTCATTGTTGACAAATGCTCTTCCGTACGTACGTGTAGACAGTTCACAATAGGAATGCTATGTGAATAACTACTACAGTGGATCAGAAATATGCAGGCCATGACCGATGAAAACTGCTTTATTATTCAATGATATAATACAATAGTTGGTAGAGCAGCCATCTTCACATTTATAACTACAAATGTGTATAGTTATTTCAAAGCTAAGTTGTTATTTTTAGCTGATCATATTGCTGCTTCCATTCTACTTTTGATCTGATAGAGCACAATTTCTCTTCTTGTAGTACTCTTTAGTACAAGTAAATATTGTCAGTCTATTAAAGTCAACCCTGACCTCCATCATAACACTACAAATGGATTGCTTAAATGAGATCATAAGTGCTACTGATGACATTGACATTGATTCTTGTGATCATGACGAGTAGAATCGATTAATTACTTTCATTCCGTACCATGCTTTTATTATCGATATATTTGCTGTAGAATAATAAAAAAATTTTGCGTAGAAACTTTCAGCTGCTAATCGATATTTTTCTCTTGTTAGTGAGGAACTTCAATGCAAAATGAAATTTGGTGTCATACTTCCCGATCAAGCTAAGGAATCGAAACTTCCAGTTCTCTATTGGCTCTCTGGTCAGCATTTGTCTATCTTTGTTCGTCGTGTTAAAACTTTTACTTATTGCATTAGATGTGGATACTAATGCAAATGCAATTTTGGCTCATTTGCTTAAATGATATCATTGTAAAATTTTTCTACCTCAAGAGATAGTTGCACCACTCCAATAATACAGTCCATTGGTGATCATCTGACTAGACACCAAATATAATAGATAGATATATTAGTCACTGAACTCTTGGCGTAATGTAATCTAGGCTTAATATATGTATAGAACAGGAATTCTAGGGACTTCTTTATCTATGGATTATAGTAAATATCTCATCCTAGTGACTTGATTTTTTCTTACAGTTTCTTCAGTATGGTTAGAATACTATAATTTTAGTCATATAGTTTTTACAAAATCGTATATCGATGGTCTAGAAATACAAATCAATAATGACATATTGCTCTAATTGCCTAGAAATAATGCTAGAAATTGATTTTATTGTCATAGCTTTAAACCTGTAATCCTAGTAATTTATATGCTCATTTATCGGAGTGTAAAAGTTAATTTAATTGTTTATAGTTGTTTAAAATATCTTATTATCCTTGTAGGATTGACATGTACTGAACAAAATTTTCTTACGAAATCTGCCGCGCATAAAGCTGCTTGCGATAACGGTGTTATAATCGTATGTCCTGATACGAGTCCTAGTAAGTATAGTAGTGACTGATACTTTCTATAGGGGTGTATTTAAGTCAATAACGTTGCTCTATTGTTTTCTCCTATGCGGCTATTTCTAGGGGGATGTAACGTTGAGGGTGAAGAGGATTCTTGGGATTTTGGCACCGGTAAGTAAATATCTATCTAGTTAATCATGGTTATGGTAAGAATATAAGCTGTGCTCAATGCTTGCCACATTTGATATATATATATATATACAATATCTTGGAAAACTTGCATGGTTCTCGTTCGTTCTTTATAGATTCTACTGAGTACATCGTCATTATTAGATATTTTCTAAATTATCTTTAGTAATCATACAGGCTAGGGCTATGTGCTCTTTCGGGATGCAGTGGGATTTACAATAATTGTAAATATCACTTGACTGACCTGATTTGCGATCTGATATTATATAACTCTAAAACTGTTATTTTAGGTGCTGGATTTTATCTTGATGCTACTGAAGAAAAGTGGAAGAAGCATTATCGCATGTACTCCTACATCGTCAAGGAGGTACATTATATGCCAAATGTAGCTATACCTATTTACACAAATACTGTGATATTTCTTCTAATTTTAGTGTTTGAGTTGAGTCATCACTTTATTAATGTGTAGTGTTTCCAACGAAGTACTTGAGATTATACTTTTATTGAGAGATCGATGATGACTGAATCGATAAAATTTCCTATGGCTTATACGATTTGGATATAGTAGCTGACAGAATTATTTAAAAGTTACTGACATTCTTCAATATTTATTGCCATGAAAAAGCTGTTTCATTGGTATTATTGTATCAGATTAAGTAGAAGAGATTGGCGCCTTACCGAATAAGTAGCTATAGGTTGTAAAAGTAGCCAACTCAATAGAACCTATTTCTGTAGGTTTATTAGTTAGATTCGGCTTATAATTTTCCTTCGATTTATGATACCTAGACATCTAGATTCCATAGTAACTGAATAATTCACTTAAAATTATTTCACTTTCCTCGGTAAATACACCCTGAAAAGACTACGTTTTGGGTATTTATATATCATACAGAGTATTAATGATCGCTGCCTTACCTTATCTTATGAACTGTCAAAGTGTGTATAAAGATCTCAAATTGAATTGATAAAGTTACCTTTAGCTTATACAGACCATTTCTATTTGCAATTCCGTTCAAATTAAATAATCCAGACTCTGTAACGAATAAATCAATTGTAAAAGTATTAATTCACTTTTTGTCACTTCATATTATCTGGAAATTTTTATGCTATAGTAATTTACAAATAGCTTGCCGTATCTGTGCTTGCTGAGTATAACTCTTCTGATATGTCACAGCTATTCACCACCTGCGATGGTGCAGCAAGGCTTTATTGAACCTGGTCAGATAATGGCTAGTTCATACATTAATAGTAAATAGTTACTACTCAAAGATAAAAATGTCTGATATACCTAAATGTATATTAATAAATTAGTGCTGTTGAAATTTTTGTAGTAGAATGAATCAATGAATTAACTATCATACGGCTTGAGGATTTGTTTAGTAGGATATATTGTTGTTAAAATAAGTAACAACATAGTATTAGAACACAATTTATTGTATAATAACAGGCTTTGATAGAATAATCCCTTAATTATGGTCTGGTGGTGATTGTTAATTCATCGAGTATCATTCCTGCAATTTGTGATGATAGTGGACAAATGTATTATTATTATATAGTGTTGATATCTGGTATTGCTTACCATATTGAGTTAATTGCGGATTTATAATCAAGAGTTCTTCTTCCTTAAATGGTTATTGGCAATTCCCGCTTTTTTTGTTATTGAGTACTGTCCGTAGAAAATGTTAATTTTATATAGTCTATTACAGCTTCAAATAGAAAGCTATTCTGTGTATCTGAATTGAATATCTGCTTTAGTAAGATGACGTGCATACCTGTAAAGGAGTTTACCTACATAAAGGTTCTTCTAATCTGATGATTTAGTTTCCGAAGATTATCTCTGCTAATTTCCCGGTTATACCTGGAAAACAGTCAATTTTTGGTCACAGGTTAGTGATTACAAGGTATTTTCTTATAGGGGATCTATTGGAATCAAGTAATATTTCAAATTTCAATTTTCAATGTAGTATGGGTGGCCATGGTGCAATAACCATCGCACTGAAAAATCCAGGCATGTTCAAAGTATGTACTAAAGTGATCTTGAAGTAGCTTTTGCCTTGTATTATTAATGTGATTAATCTTACGGAGGAAAGCAGCATATGAAGATAAAATTTTTTAAAGTGGTTTTTAATTTTATTTTATAGAGTTTGAGTGCATTTTCTCCAATATCGAATCCAATTAATGGTCCATGGGGTAAGAAAGCATTTACAGGTTACTTGGGACCTAATCAAGAATCATGGCGGGTAACTTATTGCTTATTGCCATTATAATAGCAATGCAAATGAAATGTTAGGGCACAATTGCACTTTTAAGTACGATTGCTAACATATTCCTACTTTTTAAAGTGTTTATTACATGTTTTATACCTGATTGTATGTATTCTATTTATAACCTATAATTTAGTGTTACGATGCGACAGAACTTGCGAAGAATTACGATGGAGATGAGATTGAGCTGCTTGTAGATCAAGTACGTGCTGCACGTGTGATAGTATAGTTATAGTTGGCTGTCTTTAATTTTGATAATGTAGTTAATAGTCGCTTCCTGTTTACTGGTTAAGATAAACAGATGGGTCATTAAGTTTCTAAAAAATCACAGTTAACAATATATATGCTGTTACTAAATGTAGGTTATGTCAGTAAGGTATAACTTCGTCGCGGTTAATATTAGTGCATGCGCTGTATATATTGATATATGGTAATTTAGTTACCCCATATTGTGAGCAGATGATACAATGTACGCTACTCTGCATATTTACGAATAGGTCTATCCAAATATGCAGAGATATGAGATATACTTTAACGTTACAACTTTAATTTCTTATTTATGAAGAAAGTCATCATTACAGAACCATTTTACTTCACCTTTTAATTTCTAATACTAGGGGGCAGCTGATCCTTACCTTAAAGATGAACTGTTGTTACCTAACTTTTGCAATGCGTGCAATAACAATAAGAAGGTGAAGCTGACTTATAGAGAACACGTAGTAAGTATTGGAGGAGTTACTGTGATTTGTAAACGGAGATAGATTATTTATTCAATGATTGTATATTACCGGTTACTATTATATAATTTTAATTTAAAATCAGTGTACTGTATGATTGAAGGTTTAAAAGAGTAGATTTATTTTAGGGTCTATTCTTTATTTTTGTTTTTATGCAACTGTCATTAATTAATCCTGTCACTTTGATATTTAAAATTTAGGGCTATGACCATGGATTCTATTTCATAGCTACTTTTATTGAAGATCACATCAAATATCATGCCCGTTACTTAAAGTAACTATTCGATGTAGTCATGCTTCATTAGGCTATTGTACCAATGACTAGCGTCGTTAGTTGCGTCATGCTTAGATATGGTATACAGGGCATATACACTCACCTCAAGAATCTTTTAAGTAGTTAATTCTTTTGGTAGTTTTGAGAAACGTATTAGTAATTAGATTTGCAGGCTGTTATAACGGTTTTTAAAGACTTTTCATGGAAGGGCTAATTTGCAAACTATTCTGAAGGACATGATTATCATATCTTGTCTGCTTTTATTCATAATAAATATCAAGAATTAAAATTTATATGATTATTAAGATTGAGTAATTTATTATTTATGGATAATTTTTATTTTTGAAATTGGTAAATTTTGGAGAGTGTAGGCGACGTTACTGTTTTGTTCTCAAGCTTATTTGGTAATTCACTTATTGTTAATAACATTTGACAACGTGAGAACATTTGGGGAGCGTGTGATAAGCTGTTTTCAGTTTTTAAGCCAAATAGAAATGATTAACTCTTACAAACATAATAGAATATTCAGTTACTTACATTGAAGTGGCAAAATTTAGACTGGTAAACGCGGGATAAATTATACAAGAATAGCCATCAAATCTTGATGGATTTTTTAGTCATGATAAATGAGTGAGAATGAATTTTCTTTTATTATTTTTTACGATTGGCAAGAGTTAATAGGTTTTGATTTTCGTCAAATATAGAATTACCTTTATTTTTATATCTACAGTTATGATGTCAAGTTAATTGTAGTTCATCAGCGATATTAAATTGATGGTTCACATTAATCTAGTTTATGTTCATTCGTCGGGCTGATCTAGAAATAATGACAATGATATAATGATAATTATATGATTATTATTCTTATTATCAATGGAGTAGGGTTGATGGTAAGATTTTTCTCTTTTACTTTCGGTTGAATTATATGAAAAAGAGTTATAAATATAATAGAAATATTACCAAAGTTAACTTAAAACTTTATTTGTTAATACTTGTAATAGTCTTAGAATAAATAATTAGAGATAGTAGTTCAATATTTAAGAAATAAATATTTAAGCAGCTTAGTTTATGTACTCGTATACGTATCAGAATCGAATTGTTGTAATATTGTGTTAGTAATTATCCAGACACCTTTTGTCTGATGGACAATTTGAAAAGGTTACTGCTTGTTCTGATGACTTACTCAGTTATTTTCCAATTTTATTTCATTTGTGAACATATTGATTATAAGCAGGAAATAATTATTAAGCTGGCTGGAAGAACACAATATCAGCAGATGTTTATCATATTGTCCAATAATAGTCTTTAGTCATCGTTAAGATGTGCTATTTAATTATTAATATCTAGAGATACTTTATTAATTGTTAGAAAATCGTATTTTGATATCATGTATATATTACCACCTGGTCATTAGCAGTAAATAAACAATGGGTTAAAAAAGTAATTTATTAGGAGGGGATTAGTCCTTATAGTGGCAATATGGTTATTTTACTAACAGACTTCAAGAAGGCGCTAAGAGTAGGATAAAATAAGCTATTAACAAAAATTTCATCCATCGAAGCCAATCTGGTAACAGTTAAAAGTAAATACGTCATTGATAAGTGTTTAGCCCAGACGGTGTGGAATTGACAAGGCAGCAAGAATTTGGTTTAAAATATAATTGTATCATTGCTTCACTTTAGCCGATCCATGGCTATTCATATAATATTACTCTTAACAGTAGCTGTTGTAAGTAGCTATGGTAAGGAGGACATCTACCTTGGCTGTATTTATCCTACTAGCAATAATTTCGCAGCTATACGTGGCCAAGGTTATGCAACTGCAGTTAAAATTGCTGCAAAATTGATCAATCAGAGAGATGATATATTGCCGGATTATAATTTAAAAATTCTCTTCAAGGATTCTCAGGTAAGATTGTTATATCATTAATACTGTTATTATAACTATATTTTAAGGTATACTAGTATTTGCAGATTTTAATTTGCCCTTATAGTATATGTGTTTTTTCCAAAACTGATCTACACCGTGTCGTTCAATTTTTTAAATGAGATTTTATTGGGCCGCGGTGTTCGGTAATTTAAAACGATAGATTTGGTAAGATACGCTGTCTCTGAATCATATGCCATAGACATAATAGATGATATCAAATCTGCAGCGGTTCTCTTGCTATCATTTTTGTTAGAGGTGATTATAGAAGGCAGAAAATTGCCTCCTAGTATTACATTGATGAGCCATTCAAGAGAATTGTCATCAATATTATGACTTGAAAATTGAATTATAAATAATTAGATTTTTACTATATTGCAATTAAGTAAGCTGGCTTAGAGGCGGAATTACTTTGGGTCATGATTATCATAGGAATCCTATCATATAATGATGATCAAGCCCATCTGCGTATAGCTATGACAACTCGTAAATAATCGATAAATGGTCCTATCAGTTTACACTTTCTGTATTGTATTTCTGTACTCTAAATCATGTTGTTACTGCTATAGACTGTCTGGATATTTTAGATTGGACCTTAATTTGATGCATGGTCTTGGCCGAATATATATTTCTCATACAATCGTAGTACAGCCGTAGAATCGTCGTCAACTTACAATAAGCTTGAGCTCTTGATCCGTTGAAGCTTAGCCTATTATGATTAACTTTACTCTGAAAGTTATAGTTATAGATTTTATTTATCTTAAGAATTTCTGGTTTATTTTTGTAAATGTATAATAACTGTAAATTATCTAAGTTTCATCTCCAGTTATATATGGTATTTGGCAACCAATACTGACTATATCTTAATTATTATCGAATTGGTAATTAGTTACCGTAGAATTTCAGTTTAAGTCTTTAATACTGAATATCCTCCAGGAATTTGTTAACAGTTACTTTGGTTGTAATAACATGTTCGGTCTACAAGTTAAGGATAGAGAAAATTATCTCATACTCTATTTGCTGTTGATATTGTGATTGAGAACTATACCATATTATGATTAAGATATAACTGGAATTGCTAGCTTTCATTTTTCCTATTTAGAGGAAATGATTTAGAATTTTACGATCACTAATTCTGCGTGAAACATTCTCACGTTCGCTGTTGTTAGTAATTCGATTGGATTTAAAGTGTCAACCAATAACAATAATTCAATAAGATTCAACAACAATTTAATATTGCCATACTAAGTAATTCTTTTGGCCGTGCGTATTCCTAGCATATGGATAATTATTGAGAATAATAATTACCGATCCTGCTATTACCCTGTCTTTGACAACTGGTGTTCGCCCATAACAATACGATCATTAGGATAATATCTATGTTCTTGGAGGATTTGTTACAATCAAGGGCATACAAATTCATGCAAAAATCTCTTTCTCTCGTTAATTAATTATTTTTGTCGGCAATTTAATCATTAGAGTGCCTGCATAGACTGCTTGTGAGACCAATATATCATATGTTATTCCGATGTTATTGAAAGGTTTTCTTTAAGCAACAATGCAAATTCTTTTAGGTGATCAGTTATATTAACAGTAGAAGGGTCATCGGTGAAGTATTATTAGACTGATATTAAGAGTTTTAGTTGCGCATAAAATTTGATGAAACAATGGCCAATATTGTAAATTATTTTGGTAGTTTTAAAAATGCTAAGTTTACTGAGATATTCTGAAATTGGCCTAAGGTCATTTTACCGGATTCTAATCATTTCTATCTTCTATTGGTGGCATCATTATTTTTGCTTAGTATAAGGTTTTATTTATTATAGAAAGAATTTAAGTTTATTTTACTGTAATTTAATACTATTTGGCATCGCGGTATCCGCTTTCTTAAACAAAGAGAAAATTTGATAAATACTGCAGCTGACTTCACTAGTTTTACGGCAAATACGATCATTAATTCAATATATTGAGGTGCCATAAGGAAAAATGATCACTGAAAGAAATTAATATTAAACATATACCGCTTAATTTAGTCGAACTTGTAGTACTCAAATCCAAAAAATAAAATTTATTATTACGCGTTTAGAAAATTTCCTTTTTTATTTCAGAGCATTTCATGATTCTGTCTTTTAGTCTTAAGTGAGATATAAAATTTTATCAATATTGAGTTTCAATCCCTTCATTACATTAAAATCGATTTTGAATGCTTATAAAGGCGTTACAATCGAAATACAGTACAAGTAAGCACTTCTAAACCGTTGTTATATCCAGATATCTTGGAAAAAAATTTTCTTTATATCATTTCTTTAACTATAATTTTATAAAGAACTTTTACGGCTACGATGTTACTCAATTTCAATCTTTTTTCACTTCAGTAACTACAATGACTTAAAGTAATACACTATACTATAACATCAACTCGATTAGTATCCGGTATGGGTATATAATATACTATAAATGCAAATATTGTTACGGAAAAGTACTGTCAATGGCGCGCAAGAAAAAAATTCCGCATTGCACTTAAATATTCAATTTAATTTATTTTAAATTAGTATCAAATTTCATATCTTTTTATTTCAAATCTGAATAAAATTCATTAAATCATCTGGTTTTTAATTCGATGATGACTCAACATAACGCTTTATTGAAGTAAATGTTCACCAGCAAGTTTCATAACTGAATAAAATTAAACTAAAACAACGAAGGAAAGAGTATCGTAACAGCATAAGAATTGATTATTAATGCCTTTGGTTTTAGTCATATCTGATTTTTGCTTATTCTATCACTTGAAAGATCATTCAGTCATATCAAGTAAGTATTGTATAAGTATCAGCATCTATAGCATTTACTACAATGTTTCCTTTACTCTTTTAATATAATAAAGTTAAATTGATAGCTACCGGTAGAACAGACTCAATGATCTTTTCATTACTAAATTTTGAAAATTTTGGTTCCAATAATGTTGCATTTGGTCATTTGCGATCAATAAATACAGGCTTATTTTATATTTTGTCCTTTTGACCATTATTTGACAATTCTAGTCGTATAATCTACCGCATAAGCTGGATACTCAATTAATCTAAATATGGCATCTATTGAATTCTTGAAATTTTCAATAACAAGAAGAATTGTGCTGTATCGAATGTTCATATTCTATTAATCTTGATACAGAACCTATTACAGTCTTGAAATATTCAATAACAAGAACAATTATACCATATCGGATGTAGATTTGGGTCCGACTTATCAATATTTCTAGAAAAATAAGCCATGCTATCTTGTTTTTAAATCATCTATGTCTGGCATTAATTGCATTAAGAACGAATTTTCATCGATATATCATCAAAGGTGTTGTTCCATCCGTGATAAAAGCCTTTCTTTTTAATTAGTATTATAGTGTAGGCCTGATGGCTACCTACTATATGATAATATAGTATATTTCAGTAATTTTACTATGTTTAATTGATTTGCAATATTCCTTCAATTTATTTGATCATCTTACCAAAATATAGCGAGTAAATGAAAAGGCGAAAATTTTCCGAATCTCATTCGAAAATAGTTTCTGTAGATGTAACAATTATTATAAAGTTAGAATTCATTAAATTTAAGCCTTATATTTTACGGATACCCATTTTAGATGTAGGGATACTATCAATAATATAGGCTATAATACTGTAATTTAGATGATTTCATGACTGCCCGGTTTAAAATAAACGAGAAAGGTCCTAGAAATTGATAGCTTCAAGGAATAATATAATCCAGGCATTATAAGTTATTATGCGAAATTGTTTAGTAGATGATGTCCATTTTAATATAGCTTTAAATCAACATCAACGTTGCTTATTTCCTGTTGCAGCTGTTATTGATATTTATTTAGGCAAAGCGATAAAACTAACCAAATACCAGTATGTTGTTAGACAGAGTGATAATCAACGATTTATACCGGTATGCTAACTTAATGGGCTCCTATAATAGCAATCAAAGCTAAAATAATTTTTACTGAGGTCAATTCTTATGTTACTTAGTTTCGGTTAAAACCCATGATTTCATCTATTTAACTATTGATAGATTAATTTAATCTTTTCATCGTGTATCTATTCGATTTTATGATGTTACACTGTCACACTAACGATTAAAATAATAATGAAAAAGTAAATTACTATATATTTTGATACCGTTTTAGTAGCATAAATAACTGAGATTTATCTGGGTATCAAGTGCTGTCGTCGTGGGCTCGCATAGCATATTACTAATATATAATCACCGTAATTCCTCTGTTTACTCTGCTTCCAACTCAGCTTGAAATAATGCTAATCTATAAAATCGTAGTTGCAGGGCTATTGGAAGCTTTTTCTAAAGATAAATAGCAAAGAAATGGAAGATTTTAGAACTTTGTATTGATCACTTAACACGTAAAATCCACTTGTTTCGATATTAAATTGTTGATGCCAAATTTCTTCAGGACCTAGCAAAATAATGTATGATTCGCCTATTTTATAACAGTCTTAAAATAGCATGATATTAGATTAAAATAAAGAAGAGAGGCACGAAAGTATTGAAGCTGAAAGGTTTAGAATTTATGTACATACAAAATACATTCAGATCATTTATCTTGTTGAATGATGTATCGATACAATTACTCAATGTGCTATTGATGAGTTGGGTTGTAATGGAGATGCTTCCATGCGATTAAAATTAAGGCAAACCTCTTATATGAAAGCTCTTGTAGTGAGTATCTTGGTAATTTTAATTGCGGTATGTGTTTAGAATAGGGCATACTGAAGTACCGTATAAATTATTTATCACGTCGTGCAAACTGCTTATGTTGATGCCATCAAAATTTGGAGCTTACTGGATTATATGTCAACTCAAGAATTTATATTTATTGTTATGGATTATACTTATAAAAGGTGGGACTAACTAAAATTGCCTGAGATCATATAACCAGTAATGGAAGGATTTCATTTTTACACTAACATTAATAGACGGTTAATAAACAGTATAGATAAGGAGTCGTAATACTTGAATTTAAATTGAGGAATCAAACCACTGAAAAAGAAAGGTTTTATAAAGTGGTTAAAGAAACGGAGGAAGTTGATTATATAGAGACTTTCAGAAATAACTACCAAGCAATTTCACGGTAACCGCATATAAAAGGTTTTCAATTGATTGACATTATAGCACAGTATCATACGATACTATCCACTATTAGCATCAATAAGCTATATCATGCAGAAAAATTGTAACAGTTAGGGCTAAATGATTCTATAAGCCTAATTTAGTCCACAATAATTGAGCCGAATGGCCTTCTCACTTTTTCTCGAGTTATTTTAGTGTAACAACAGATTTGCATAGCATTTGTAACAGTTACTGTATTCTAAAAGTGATTTATGCGTATTTTGCAGTTAGTATTCGGTGATAGATTGATTATATATCCATACTCACTTATTAAATTTGGATAGAAAGTAAGGAGATAAGTAAAGACTAAATTAGAATTTGGGGATATGTTTGATGTATTTAATGCTCTAAGTTCAATGATACTGCTGGATCTACGAGTTTTCTTTATTTAATCTTTTGTATAAAACAATATGTTTGTTATTCTAAATTTGTCAAAAAATCGATTAAATATTTAATTTAGCATAAAACTGATAAATAGCCACATTATGTTTACTTCTTATTTTCTTAAGTTCATTTCAATCTTTATTCTCTTTGTTTTTTATAGTTGGCGTCTCGATATGCTGTTAAAAGTTTAGTTGAATTAATTAGCGAAAAAAAACAAATCTTTGGCTTTCTTGGACCAGTTTCATCGTCATGCTGTGAAGGTACAGCAGCTGTGGCTCCATTTTGGAATCTGATACAGGTTAATTGAAAATTTGAAGCCGATTGTTTTTTATTTAATTTTGATCAGACTGCTTGTATTAATATAATAAATGCTTCAAAATGTTTTGTATTTCACATTGAAATCACCAAACTCGATATCAATAGTAAGAATTTTAGAAATTATTAATGTCACTCAATTATATTTACAATGCTCTCTTATGGTTGGACAATATTGCCAAAGATAAAATACTATAATATTAAAGTAGCATATTTGTCTATAAACTCCGCATCGTATAAGCTTATGATACTATATCCTACTCTTGAACACACAATTACCTGGTTATATTTCAATACGGTGCAATTGAATAGCGTTTAAAGCAACATTATACTATAGTTATAATTGACTAATAGATTCAAATATATTCACCATTACCACAGCAATTGCCTTTTTACGGATTTCAATGGCTTGCTATTTTTAAGGCGATTTTAATGTTAGCTAGCAATTAGAAACGTTCAATACTATTTATTACAGGTAGCAATGATTTATAATATAATATACTTTTGATTAGTTCATTATTAACTTTAATCCTGCTATTTAGGAATATCGATTTTTATCTAGCAAGTTGCATTGTCTGATTTAGTTTAAAAATTAAATACTGTAATATGAGCATAGTAGGATAGATAAATAATCTTAGCTACGCTTATAAGGGCATATGTTAACAATAAAATAAGCACTTCTGATAAGGAACAGTGTACGAAATTGATCTTAAATATAGAATGCAAGCATAGTCATCAATATGAAATTTTAAGAAGATCTACTTTCATACTTAGTTACTGTTTGGCCAAGTCTGTCTTAGTTTTTAGACCGTTTCGATGTTGAAACTCATATTTAATATTAATGTATTAATGCAGTATGAATTTAACTAGTAGGTTATGTCAAGATATTATCTCTTCGATATATTATTAAATTTATTATCTACTCTTATGTACAAGTATGAGTAGGATTCAGCAAATCACAAAGAATCATATGATCTAAGAAATTAAATAAATTAATTGATGGTATTAGTGACGCGTTTATCTAGGCTCATTTGTAGTTTTATCATGTGATTACTTTAGTTATGTAATGTTTAGTATTTTCATATCGGTAATTTTCTAATATTAAATTTTTGCGTTAAATTTGTGCTATATTCACGGAGAATTAATATGATTAATAGATTATGTCTCAGTATTATTTTCTTTTTATGCTTTCAAAATATACAGTGCGACTATAGGTGGGTCTTATCAATGTGAAGGAAATTAAATTAATTAAGTTGAATGTCTTAATTCAAAAAACTGCTGACAAGTTCATTCAATTATCATTTACAGTTTCGATGTAAGATTTTCGGTCGTATTTTTATTAATTTCCAAGTGTTCCTTATATTTATTATTATATTAAATAATGATACTGTATATTTGGATAACGTGAATATATTTAATAGAATACATCTCAAAGCCATTTTATTGTAATGTTTTCGCGTTGTAAATGTGAGTATGATATAATTTCAGCAATCTATATGGGATTACATAATGAGCTTGCTGAAAAATTAATTTACAGCACTAATCGGGGAGTTATCTAATTTTATTTAAAGTTGATGCGTTCTTGAAATTGCTTTGCTAATTCTTATAGGCAATTAGCTAACAATTTGTTTTTTAACTTGGTTTCAGATCTCGAATGGGTGTACGTCGGTTTCACTTGGTAACAATAAACTTTATCCGCTGTTCTATCGAATGACGCTAAATGATACATCTTATAATGGTGTATTGGTGGATATCTTCCAAAAAATGAATTGGACAAGCGCGGGAGTTATTAATTATCAAGACTTTACCTTTACAAGTGTATGCTATGACATTAATTTTTCATAAATTTTGATTTAACTAGTGTAGATTAAATGTTAATGATCAATTCGAATAATAAATGGCTTCACGTTCGTTTAATTTTAATCTTAAATTTTTGATCGAAAATTTTACAATATGAAATATAATATTTTCTCTTGTATCATTTTTGCTATTAAAGATAACGGAAGATTTAGTCGCACAATTCAAGAAGGTTGGCATTGACTATGATATTCAAAGTTTCGCTATTGATCCCGTGGCTAGAGTTGATAAGTTAAAGGTAGCTTCACCTTGTTAGCGCAAAGTGTTATTGTTGTAGACGAAATCATCTGATTTTGACAATAACGATAGGGGTTAAATATTTCGATATTTCAATTAATTTTTAATAGTAGGAAAGGCAGTCTTAGCAATAATTTAATTCATAAAATTATCCTTAGTAATATATTAATTATCTTAATTGGTCATGTTTTTATAATATCAATTCTATTTACATACTCTGCGTGAGCAATAATGTTTCAATATTTGTCTAAATCATCACGGACATCTACTTAGACATCGAATTAGTAAATTGATAATTAAAAAATCTTACTGTTGAAACTAAGATATGCAGTATAAATGCATAATTTGCGCTTTTGTTGCATAATTTAACACGTAGTTGAAATTATCCACGCGACTAATATTGGGACTTAAGTTTAAAATATACCTATTAAGATTAAATCTTAAATTTTTCGCTTTATTCAGCGTTGTTTCCTTCATTAATACTTCTACGCAATTAGGATGCCGATACGCGAATCTATGTTCTCTATGTCTATCCTGCACAAGCCATTAGAATTATATGTAGGGTAAGTATACGATTTTGGATTGCATTCGAAATTTGCGACTGTGAATATACTATCGGCAGCACGATATTCTCTTACGAAGATATAAGATGCTCCATCATTAATTTATGCAACTATAAATAATTACCCAGTATCGAACGGAAGTTCATCGATGATAGCTACAAAGCTAAGAGACGATATCTTTGCTATTTTTAAGTTTACTTAAGGAGTAGTACACCTGATAGTCTTAAGTAACGAGCATAATTTATTAATCGTCTCGTTTTTAGGCTTATGAATTAAATATGTTTGGACCTGGTCATGTCTGGTTCTTACCAGAATGGTATGGTTCATTGTGGTATGATAATGAGATTCATGCGGTGAATTGTTCTAGAAATCAAATTCGACAAACCTTAGATGGCTCATTTGGATTACAACAAGTTTTTCTTTCGTCAGATAATTTGACGACTATTTCAGGCTTGGTAAACTACGTAATTAACGATAAGATCGAGCTAATTCTCAGTCAAACAATTGTTAATCTCTTAAATTGCAATTCATTCTCTACATATTAGAATATCGATATTGCTTACTTAAATATCAATACTGTAATTAATTAATTATTTAGACACCACAACAGTATGTGGATCAGTATTTGGCGATATCTCCATCTAAACAAATTCGCGATGAGAATACGTTGAGTTTTGATTCCCTTTGGGCGTTTGCTCTTGCCCTGAATCGAACTGATGCAATATTGAGAGAAACTAACGAAAATTTAACTCAATTTACTTATAATGATACAAGAATAAGAAATTTACTTTATTCGTCGTTATCTAATCTTACTTTCGACGGAATAAGTGTAAGTTCTATGAAAAGATATTATACCATTGACTTTATGATACGAATATTCTAAATATCTTTCGTATAGTAAATGCTATTCTTTAAGATATGCATATAATATAATAATTTCAAATTGAGTACTGCAAAACTTGATATCAGTGATATTATAATTATATACTTGTAAGATTGAAATATCATAGGCTTAATTAATATCTCCTTTAGGGGAGAGTGGCGTTTGTTGATGGTGATAGGACAGGGGATATTGAAATAAGCCAATATCAAGGTAATAAAAGGATAACGTTGTGCAGTGATGCAGTACATTTAAATAAAAGAATTTCGTCTGTTAAGCTTAACTGTATGTAACGTAGTACTGTACTGTGATCATTTCCTGATTCTGGGTTAAACTATTAGAGTAGAAGATTACTTCCAAGTCGAGACAAAACTATTAGTTATCGCTACCTACAAAAGCGCAATACCCAAAAAATTAAGTACGGAAACTGTATTATTATATCCAAATTAATCTGGAATTTATTACGGCTTTACAGTAGGCGTGAACCCTAATAAGAACACTGTTGTCGGACTATATTCAAGCAAAGATGATAGAACCTATCTTAATCGAACAAATTTTATTCGATGGCCAGGTAAGTAGTCATAGTACCCAATCCACTAAATGGGCAATTACTGCCTAATTTTAATGAATTTTCGTGATTACCTTGCTAAGAAATACTGATAGCGGATAAATCTCTTTTAAGATGTTTAATTATGATTAGCCCAGATACTGTATCGATAATTAAAAGTCATATAGAATTATTTGTTTTTACAAATGATAGATAAGTTTGAATAATAGTTTTTATGATAATCATATCCAATTTTGTTAGACAAAGAGATAAAAGTAATTGCTAATAGTCATAGTGCTCATAATAACTGCAGCAAGAAAAGATTTTGTTTTCACTACTTAAATTTTATTTAATCTCTAAATATTTATGAACGTAAAGCCATTTACAAGAACTAATTTGCACATTTAGTTATTTGTAGATATATAGTAATAAAAATAACAGGAAATTTTACAGCGTAAAATTTCATAGATAGCGTAATCAGCACAGCTGTTGTACTGTTATCCAATTATCAAGTAATATCGGTATCTATTCTCTATTATAACTTTAGGTGGCAAGGTACCTGTAGGTGCCATAACTGTCGTAGTATACAGCTTAACAGTGTCTATTCCTGTCTTTATTGTGTTTACTACTCTATCATTCATTGGAATACTTTCAGCGATGTACTTCCTTTATTTCAATACCAGTAACAGGCATATTAGGTAGGGCATCTCTTTACTTAATTTATTTGAATTAATTGTTGCATAATATAAAAATACGAACGAAATGCTAGAATTGTTCTATTACAATGCTTGCAATACGTTTAGATATGCTAAATTATTCCGTGTAGTACTCTATTGGAGTTAGCATTATTTTGAATGCATTTATCTAATTCATACGTAATTAAGTCAAACAAAATATACTCAATTGAATATGTAATAAATTAGGGGTTAAATGGTTAGTGCATGCTTGTTTATATCGTTTTTTATTTAATATGCTCGAAGATTATAATTAAGGATCTATATGTATTTTCGAAAGTTATTATCTTTACAGCAAACCTGGTTGTGACCTTTAGAGATATTGTAATACAGTATTATCACAAATTAATTTTCTATTATAGTTATTTTTACATCTTTTCTTAGAATAAAGTATTAATATAGTTTGTTGATTCGTCCTCTTAAGAGCAATTAAGATGTCCAGTCCAAACATGAACAATATCCTGGTTCTAGGTTGCATCTTATGCTACGCTTCACTGATAATCTACGGCCTTGATGCGGGTTTAGTGGATTCGCAAGCGATTTCACACAGCTGTATCGCTTATGGCTGGATTTTATGCTTTGGCTTTACTCTATCATTTGGTTCGTTGTTCTCTAAAACTTGGAGAGTTTATAGAATTTACTCAACTGGCTATAAGAAAAAAATAGTATGTTAAAAACAAGAAATACCCTTTCTGTTGTACTAATTGAAATTGTAGGAGCATTACATTAATTTTAGTGGCTAATGCAATTTCACTTATCCTATTCTAGATTTATCGAAGTAAAGTTTTTAAGTAAATGTACTTTTATAGTGTAATTTATTATGACTACACCAAGCAATGCAAGCACATCGATATGAACATAAATTATATTTTGTTATCGATAGATTATAAGGGACAAAAGATTGCTATTGTGGATAATTGTTTTGGCTATTATTGATACTTGCTTACTATTGCTTTGGATGTATCTTGATCCAGTTACAGTAAAAATTGTCGAATCTCAACCAAAGGTAATATAAATTCAGCATTAAATGACCGTAAGTGGCTTGACATATTACAGAAAGAATCACTAGTTCTTTTGCTTTCTTATTTTAAAACAATATTATAGCCCTATAATTCACTTTATATAGCGCTTAAACTCAACTAATGCAAAAAATGATCACTGATCTGATTTATTTTGATAAGACATAAAGTACTAATAGTATTTCTCTTTTAATAAAAAGACAAATCCATTTGAAAATCCTGACATGAGAATTCGTTATAAGACTGTAATATGTTACAACAGTCAAAAAGCAATATGGCTGGGTATAATCTATGGGTATAAGTTTCTGTTCCTACTGTTTGGAGCTTTTTTGGCATGGGAAACTCGTAACGTTCACATACGCGAATTAAATGATTCAAGATATATTGGTATGTCGGTGTATAACGTTTTCGTCATTTCAGCCATTGGAGCCTTATTAAACGAATTTGTTGTTGCCACACCAACAGTCAAATACGTAATGATTGCGATTTTGACTTTGCTGGGTACAACTATTACTCTATGTTTGGTCTTTGTGCCCAAGGTAAATTCTAATTCATCGCTGTTCATAATCTAATTTCCCATAGTGCTACTATCATGGACTAAGACTGACAGCAGTTATGTTGTTAAAAAATTCTATCCGTCAATTGATTCATGATAAAATTAATATTAGCAAGTTTTTATTAGAGTAGATTTATATTAATCAACGAAACTGTTTTCTGATTTAGAAATAGAATCGAATACAAGCACTGATAATTTACAATTTAGTGTGATACTATTTTCACAGTACACAATACCGTCGAATTTTAGTTTAGTTGGAGATTGTAAGCTTTAAAAGCATTCCATAGGTATAACTTTTTTGGCTATATATATTATATAAAACACTTAGAACGGTAAAAAACACTGGTAAGATTTGATAGAATCTGCATTCAAGTTCAGTAGTTCTCTAGACCGTCCATTCTTTCCACTTAGATTCAAATTAAGCAAAAAAATTTTAACTGACATAAATATCGTTTGGGAAACAGCTACAACTATGATAGCACAGTGTTGTACAGGATTATACTCCATTCTTTTTGGCTAGGTAGCACTTTTTACTTGCGCAATGATGTTTAAGAATTTGCTTTTTTAAGCCATAAATTTTCATACAAATGCTTGCAGATATTAGAAAGCGATAGTGGTTATTTATAAGAAATTAATATATTATCAGAATATTATATGAGTGTCACAAACCAGCTTCGTGACAAGGATAACGTAAAACAAATCTCTAAATTACTATAGTCTCCGGGATTCAGTATCCCTTAACTACCTCACAAGAATTTAGACGCCTTTGATTCTACGTTAAAACAACTATACAATTGAGAACTGCTTTATTCAACTATCTGACGATTTTATATACCCTTTTACAGCAGCTAACATTCACAAGTCATCTTATAAAAATACTTGTGTGAGAACATCTACTAACTAATTTTTCACAGTCGGACTACAATATGTCGATTCACAGAATCATTTCAGTACACATTACAGCACAGCAATAAATTTACTGTAACACATTTATAATTAGAGTAATTCCTATTGTAAGGGACTAGATGTAATATATTATCACTATATTATATTAACCAAATTTAGATAACTATTTCTTTACGGTAGTTCGTACCGTGATAATGAGACATGCTGCATTTTAATATTAGGCTTGTTGTCGAAATTACTATAGCCTTTGTATAGATAATCTTAAGTTGATATTGCAAAATTGTTTAGGTAAGGCGATGGAAAAGTGATCCACTAGGTAAAGTAGAGCAAACTCGAACTAGATTCGGTAACGCAAATCGAACAGCTTTAGGAGCGGATCGAACTAGCCAGATTGAGACTCCAGCATCGGATAACTTGATTGAAGAATTCCGTAAAGCCTCAAAATCTAGCTCGAACGATTAATGTTGAACAAGCAAATGTCATGCTACAAACATGATTACATGGCTATTTTTGACTCGAGTTGTGCATCAATCACGTTTAAACAGAAATATACATTTATGATAAATCTTAAGTTTGCCACCTAAATCTGCAAAATTGATAGAAAATCTTGCAACCTTTTTTCTTTATTCGGCATCCATACAAAGGATATTGACCGAATTATAGATCAGAGTAAACGAAAAACTGAATTATTTATAGCTCTTCTAATTCTAATTAAATATTTAAATGAAATTAAACCTTATACCCATAAATTGCTTTCATAAATCAAAAATAATCATTTAATAGATGTCTGGTTAATATCTCTATATAACAAAGCCTTAATTTATTAATTTTTAATATTTCCTCACTACTACTGAATTATTATTATTAATAATAGATTACTGTTTTGTATACACATAGATAGATGGTGTTTACTACGATACGACTGACGTAAATACACTTACATACCGTTCTTTTCGTTATTCTTAGCTTAATTCAGAACTTGTTAAAATTTATAAATTTTTCCTAAATATATATATTTACGTTATATTCATAAACCTTTTGCAATCGTGCAATTTATTAGATAGTTACAATTTACGGCACGATTTACCGTTTAATTTCGAAAATATTTTTATTTGTTAAACTAAATCAATTGGTATTGCTATACGTGTATACATACTTACAAACTTTATGTATCGTTATAGTCTTTTACAAGTTCTTGCAACATGTATAATTATTTTAAGAGTAGGGCACCTTTATTTGCCTATGTATTCGCTATGACGATTTGCCTTGAGTTACAAGATTGTTAAATAAATCTGATTAATAGAATCTATATTTCATTACTTGAAGTGGTAATAAAGCAAATAATTTTACCTTTACTAAAGTATTGAAATGATCAAAAGTATCTTGAGATCATCAGGATTATTCAGGCTTAAGTCCACATATCTGTATTTAGAGATTCATTTTTGGTGATTGTTTATTGAGGCAATGGTACGAGCAGTCATAGAAAAATTAGCTACGATGAGTAAATGATAACATATCGTAATCAGATGATGACAGCGTACATTTCTAGGATCATTTTAGTGCTCTTTATAATCCATTTAAAGTGGACAAAATTATAAAAGTCTCCATGACTGAATTTTATCGTTAAACTTCGCCTTTTAGGTTTGTAGTTATCATGCAAAGCGCCGTTCGTTCTGTCAAAATCTAATTAATATCATGCTGTAGGTACTTACCTGTTAAGAGAAAACTCAGGAATTTAATTTAATTTACTAATTACAGTATAAAATATTTGACTTACTGTCAATTAACGTACGTTCGAGGTAGAAATGTGGAAAATAATCTGATATTCGGGAATTTTATGTTTTAGTATTTATATTTACTTCAACCCTTCCTAGTTGAATGTATGCCTACAACTGCACCACTGTTCTTAGTAAAGTCAAGCTTTAAAGCTACCGCATTAACTAGATCTATAAATGACCAATAATGAGAGAATTAGCTAAATCACGGATTGATAGTTTAGTCAGTACACTCGCAAGAAATATATGTATTTATTAAGAATGCACAAAAAGAGTTCATTTTGAATAGATTATTTATGATGGATATCTCTACAATGTAGATTGGGATGTACCTACATTTTTGATTAAATAAGGTTTTCATTTTTCTGTTCACATTGTAATTTCTGCTAGTTATAGTATTTATGCATGTGGAAAGTATGATGTTAATACAAAGCAGAGTATTATCGGTATATGAAGTAGTGTAAGGAAGTTTGATCTATTCGTAGCAGTGAAAACTGATATAGATTTGAGGTTTAGACAGTAGGCGTTATCAGCGCCGTTATATGTAATTAACTCTACTTTGTTTGTTACTGGGAGTAACTTTTAAATCTAGGACATGCTAAACTGTTAATTGGTTCCTACATCGGCTTCCATGTCGAAATGATAGATAACAAATATCAAGGAATTTTGCCGCTTTTTACAGTTATTAATAGATGCTGAATTTTTAATTTTTTCTTTGGCTTTATTTAACGCACTCGGAATCATTGATGAAGAAGCAATTTTTTAGTTAGGTCATAGTAAGTGTAAATTAAATTACCATAAGTGTACTACGAATGCAATTAATATTTGTTAATTATTTATTTCCTGTATGTGTTGGTTAGAGGCATATGTTACATAATGTGTAGAAAAAATTACTCAGCGAAAAAAGGGCAAAAATTAGTTTGTTGTTGTTCTAATGATTACTGCAACAATAACAACCGATCTATAACCCATCTGCTGGCTTTCGCCTGCGGACCACTCCAACAGTTTTAATTAGAGTGAGTGATGAAAATTTCTAATGTTGACATTAGTATCCATTAAGAATCACCTTGTACCAGCATTTATAAACGATACGTAACTTACTTTTGGTAATTTTTGACATCATTTACGAGTATAAATGTAATTAAATAAATAAATAATAAATCTTGATATTTTATCTGTAGTTGGCCATCGATACGTAATACTGTTCCTGGTACTACTTACATGGCATCGTCATTTTAGCATCTTCGTACATATTTTAACATTAATATTATTACGTAATTATCAAACTACTAGTGCAATGTTTGGTATATACTTTCAGTTTACTGCAGTAGAGGTTATAAATAGATAATATATAATCTTCGTGTATTACTTACTGTAGCTCATTGTGCCAGTTTATTATAAGCGCTATATTTTACTCTTAAAGTGTATGCAGTAAAAACAGGAGCCATTAGGTGAAAGTGACAATGTAATATCACAAGCATATTGATATCCATTTAATTAGTGGATATCTGTAAAATAGGATAACAATTTCTGTGAGGTAATTCATCTTGATCTCAAGGAAGTTAAAACCTGAAAGAGAAATATTGGCAGTAATAGACTAATAGTAATTGCTTAACCTGCCCTTCGGTTGCCCGTAGTCGTATTCTAAGATTCAGTAACGGTAGCACAAGAAACGTTTGTACGTTGCACCTGTTGATAAGTCTATTGAAGGTATTCAAGCATTTGATTATGTATCTCGAAATTATCATTGTTTTGGAACTAATACTCTAAAGACAGTTGCAGTTTAATAAGTATGTAAAAGGACGATCAATTGAAAAGATTGAGAATAACTAGTATGATGGTTTATTGAAATTTTTAAATTCTAATTAGATCTGTATATCAAAGTAGCGTTTCCCAATGTGGATTCTAGGGTTTCATGTTTTCAAGATCGATTTTCTTTAATTTCAATTCAGAAAGACGTAAGTAAAATAACTGCCTCATGTGTCATGGTACATGAGAGATCCATATATTTTTTTATATTAAAGTTTAAGTCGACAACAACCACGGGTGGTACATTCATTCTTACAGGCAGATTTACTTCTGACATTTGTTTATTTGTAGTTTAGTAAGCTATAAATATTAATTTGATCATGTGCTGATTAACTAAAGTAGGAAAATCACGAGTCATTCCGTTGCTGAATACTATGAAATAATATAAGAATAAATAGTCGTCAACTACCGTCGTACCCATTGAAAAAACATTATGCAATTAGACCCTTGTGATCATACGAGTTCGCGTTAACGTCTTATATGAAGTACATACTGACTTAACTCAAAAGTTGAATCATACTTGAAT